ACCAGGTCGACCACACCCCTGGTCGACCAGCTCAAGGTCGACGTCACTCCTGGTCGACCAGCTCCACGTCGACCAGCACAGTCGTCAGCCGACCACCCAAGTCGGTGACCTTACAAGTCGGTGACCTCGCAAGTCGGCGCCAACTTCCAGGTCGACGTGCCACATCGCCGACCACCAGTTGAAGTCGGCCACCGGCTTCCCAAGTCGGCGGCATTGCAGTGGCCCCGTGCAAGTCGACCAACCCCGTCGACCAGCTCGCCCAAGTCGGCGTCGCCTACTGCTGCAAGTCGGCTGTACCTCCCGTACACCCAACCACAAAGTCGGCTCCGCCCAAGCGAGGACGGGGCCAGCAACAACTCCCGTTGACGTTGCTCACCGAACACAATGAGATGTGGCAGATCTTTGTGGTCCCAATGCCTAAGGAGAGGCTTCGTGATAGCAAGCATCAGCACCAAGGGTGAAGCGGTTGGTAGCAGCAATGGCGCGAACGATGGCGCCAAGAAGAAAGAGTCCAAGAAGAACAATCTTGGGGGGACAAGCAAGCTAGATGATCAAAAGGAGAGTGATGCAAAAGGGTGAGGAGAACCCCAAGGCAGCAGCAGAGGAGGAGTTTGGAGAGAGCATGTGGGGCACTATTGCTAGTTCGAACTTCTCGAACCCGACTTCGGCTACGGGGGAGTGTGATTGGCTTATCTTGCATCAGCGAATGGGGCATGTAGCATTGCCCATTTTACAGCAGCTTGTGAAGGAAGAGATAGTTGCTGGCATATGTGTGAAGGGGGAGCCCACCGAGGTACTTGGCTGCCCGACGTGCATGCAGCCAAGTTCACCCAGTTTCCTTTCTCTAGGCTGGAGGCAACGGCCAAGGCACCGCTTGATGAGGTGGTGATCGACGCGGTGGGCCCCTTGAAGCTTGGAGCCACTGGAGCTGAGTATTTCTTGACCATAGTTGACGTCTACACCCGCATGAGCTGGGTGGATATGCTGTCCAAGTTGAGCGACGTGGCTGAAACGGTGAAGACCGATTGGTTGCCGATGGTGGAGCGGCAACAAGACCGGCTTGTAAAGGCTATCCGCACCGATCAAGTGGGAGAGTTCCTGAGCAAAATATTTTTCTATGTGGCTGAAGAAGAATGGCATAAGGCACTCCTTTACCATGCCATACTCCCCTGCAATGAACGGCATTGCCGAGCGAGCGAACCGGACAATCAACGATACTGCATGTGGATTGGCAATTATTTCCTAACGCCTCCCTCATTGAAGCTGGGCTACCCAACTATTTCTGGTCAGATGCGGTGCGGAATGCATGTGTGGCTAAGAACAGAGCCTTGACACATGTTGGAGCAGAGAAATGGGTGCCCCATGTGGATAGATTGGAAGGAAGTCGAAGGTCGACATGCTTCGGGTGTTCGGGTGGATGTGCATAGCACTTGTGCCTAAGCATCTTCGGCACAACAAGCTTGGTGCCAAGGTGAAATGGGCTGTGCACTTGGGCACGGCTCAAAACAGTAAGGGATGACTTCTTTGGGACCCATTCACCAAGAAGTTTTTGCTGAGCAGGGACTGCAAGTTCATGGAAAATCTCAAGTACAAGGATTGGAAGGCGAAAAATGAGGCGAAGATAAGTGTGCGGTTTGGGGAGGTGATAAATTCCGGCTTGAAGCACATGGAGCTGCCTTTGGAGCTGAGCTGCGGCAACACCATAAAAAGGCGATCTCCTCTTGCAAATGGGGGAGAGGAGGCCAGGAATGGAGAGGAAGAAGGGGAGGAGGTGCAGCAAACAAGCGAGCGTGCACCGACACTTCCTAATGCCACTACGAGTGCTCCTCGGATTCGAGTCACCCCTCAGCAACGCCAGGAGAGTATTCAAGTCCCTGCAGCTGAGGAGGAAGGAAGGGGCAAGAGGAGAATTAAAGCCTCTAATAGGCTGACATATGATGCGCCGGGGAAGCCAGCCAAGTCAGCCTTGGCCGGAGCGGCGCTTATGGGTTGGAGATGACAAGGAAAGTGAGTACGAGGAGTGCGCTTTTGCGTTATTCTCTCCGGTGGAGATGCAGGAAGAACCAGCAACTCTAAAAAAGGCCTTGGAGAGTAGTGATTCTGAGGAGTGGAAAATGGCTATGGAGAGTGAGCTGAAGAGTATTGAGGAGAACGACACGTGGGAATTGGTGGAGCTACAGGAGGGGCGTAAGTCGATAACATCCAAATGGTCCTTCAAGGTCAAAGTGGATGCTGACAGCAGAATTGAGTGCTACAAGTCTAGGCTTGTGGCAAAGGGGTACCAGCAGAAGGAGAATTGGACTTCAATAAGTTGTTTGCTCCTCCTGTGGTGAAGCCGACGACGCTGCGAACCCTACTCGCGGGTGGGTGGTGAAGCAAATGGGTGTGACAACAACATTCCTCAACGGCGTCCTCGAGGAAGGGATTTTCATGGCGCGGCCAGAGGGGTTTGATGATAATAGTGGCAGAGTGTGGATGCTGAAGTAGGCCCTCCATGGGCTCAAGTAAGCCCCTAGGCAATGGTACTTGCAGCTGCGTGAAGTCTTGGAGGAGATTGGCTTCACTCCCTCAACCGCCGATCACTCCTTGTTCATGCTTGGCGAGAGGGAGCAGAAGAGTTTCATAGTGGTATATGTGGATGGCATCCTCACTTTTTCACCCTCCTCTGACCTTGTGAAGGAGGTGATGCAGAAGCTTGAAGAAAATCTCAAGTGCAATGGCCTTGGTGACGTGAACTTCTACCTTGGGCTTCATTTCGAACGCGACATGGAGAAGCGATCGATGCGAGTGAATCAAAGCAAGTACCTGGAGGCACTTGCTGCAAACTTTGGGCAGAGTGAAGGCCATGTGGCAATTCACTTTCCCTCTAGGTTCAAGTGTGTGAAGGGACCAGAGGAGGAGAGCGTTGGAGAAAAAGAGAGGCGCCGATTTCACTCGTTGGTGGGCAGCCTCGTATATGCGGCGGTCAACACCCGATCGGACGTTGCCTTGGCTACCGGGCAGCTGGCTAGGGTTGTTCGATTCCCTAATGATCAAGTAGCAGCTGGAATGAGGCTGGCCAAGTATCTTGGCCAAACAGCAACCGTTGGGCTGCAATACTCGACGGCGGCGCAAAGGCGCGAAAAGGGCGCGGATGGTGTTGAACCCAAGCGTTTGTTCCTCACCGCATTCTCCAATGCCTCCTATGCATCAGAACCAGAGGACGTGACAAGTGTGGGAGGCTTCATTTGCTGAGTTGGTGGAGGCCCAACTGCTTGGGAAAGCAAGAAGCAGGTGGACCAAGCTTTGAGCTCGGTGGAGTCCTAGTACATGGCACTCTTCCGTGGGGTACGGGAATTTGTGTGGCAGCGGGGTTTGTTGGCTGAGTTGGGGTAGGAGTAGGAAGGACCTACCCCTCTCTATTGTGACAGCCAGTGTGTCATTGCACTTGCTAAGAACCTTGTCTTGCATGGCCTCACCAAGCACATGCGGGTGAAATGGCATTGGACGAGGAGCATGGTGGGTGCGGGTGAAGTTGAGTTTGTCAAATGATATATATGCTATATATGCTTAGGCTGTAGTGGGGTAGCCAATATGGGGTACAGCCCCTTTTAGGGTTTCATATTTGTACCCATCTCTTTCATAGTTCAATCATTCCTGCTGCTAGATTCTAACATGGTTTCAGAGCACTAGGTCCATATGACCGTTCTTTTTTCAGGCCCACCTACCGTTGCAGTTACCACGCTACCCCACTACAGCCTAAGCATATATAGCATATATATCATTTGACACACCCCCATAGGCAAAGTGGGGGAGAGCAAGGGGTCACAAGACCAGTCAAGAGAAGCAAAGCAAGCTCAGGGTGGATCACAACGTCACCACACACACTGAGCACAAGCAAAGGGCCACAAGGCCAGTTCACATGCAGAGGTATATATGCAACAACAGCAGCACAGTGATCTCTACCTAGCAGAGCAAGCATGCAGGTATATATATATATAGAGATCACAGTACGGAAGACCAGTAGACGAAAGGAGACTAAGAACTTGGCGCAGCACAGAGTCAGACGGTGGCTGAGACGACGGAGACGGTGGAGCAAAGAACAGGCGCGGCTGTGCAGTGCCACCAGCACCAGCAGCTCCAGCACCTCCAGCAGCTCCAGAACCCTTAGCGCCAGCTCCTACAGGACCAGCTCCACCAGCAGCAGCACCCCCAGAACCGGCACCTCCAGTGCCAGGGTCTCCAACCTCAGTGTCTCCAGCAGTAGCACCCCCAGACCCAGGGTCTCCAGCAGTAGCACCCTCAGGCTCAGTACCTCCAGCCCCAGCAGCTCCATTACCTCCAGTACGAGCACCTCCGGGACCAGCACCACTCCCAGCTCCAGTGACGTCAGCAAAGAGGATGGGGCTGGGCAGGAAAAGATCCTAAGGCCAACTACGTTCCTGCGCAACTACGTTCCTGCGCAAGCGTCGTGATGTACACTATCATGTGCTTCCCGCGAGTCCGGTCGGTGCTCTCGTTTGTGCCCGGGGAGCTTGTTCTTGAACAGGGCGCTGCAGCCTGTCAGCCAGTCCTGGCACTTGCGGTCTCGCGCGTGCTTGCTCTTCGGCCACTTTGACGCGCGAAACTGCTTCGTTGGACCCATCCCCCGCAGGTCGTCCAGGCGAAACAGGAGACGGTCGACGACGTCCTTTGCGAATTTGCGGCACAGCTTCACGCACGCCTTGTAGCCGCTCTTGTACTTGTGGTCTTTCAGCTTCCTCTCGTGCAGGATGTACGAGTGGTTGACCGGGCGGCCTTCCGAATCCGCGCCTCGCACTTTGACCGTCTGGCCCGACTTCTTCCCATACAGCTTCAGGAATTTCGGGAGCCAACCGTTGCCAGACCCACCGAAGTCACTGTTCTTGTCAAGGTACCTGTGCTCGATGTTGCCCGTGATGGACTCGACGGTCTTTGCCACCTCGGTAACATCGACCTGTAACAACAACAACAACAACAACAACAACAACAACAACAGAGTATCAGTATTGGATTTCACGAAAGCCAAAACCATTCATACAACGCTGCCTCCGCTTTTGAAACGACCGGTTCAGATCGTTAAGGTCGCCGAGGATGTCTGCAAGGAAGAAGAGGCAGAACTGGAACTTGTACGATGTAACTGTCTCGTACAAGTCGTGCTCCTTCTCGTGGAAGAGAATAATCGCAGCGCCCAGCACCTTGCATAGTCGCTTCACCGCGTCGCCCCGGGACAGCCAGCGCACGCTGTGAATTCCCTGGACCTCGAGGTTCGTGTTGTAAATGACGCGCTGCAGGTACTTGAACTGCTGGCTCCAGTGGCTGGAGGCGCCAAGGCGTTGAGCAAGCGTGCGGACCACCGTGTCCACCATCGCGAGGTCCGGATTTGAAGTGGCAGTGTCCTTCACCGCCAATGCCTCTCTGCCGATCAGATGCACAAGAGTTAGCGGTTGTATGGGGCATCATGACTAACAAGTAGAAACAGTGGAGGACGGAGCAAAAAACGTTTGCAACACCTGTGGGCGATGCAGTGAGTAGACACAAGATGCGGCACATGTTCCCGCAGCCTTGTCACGAGCCCGTTGTCGCATCCAATCATTACAGACGCGCCGTCCGTGCTGATGCCCACCACTCGGTTGAGGTCAATGTTGGCAGTATGCAAGTGGTTCAGGAGCACCGACAGGAGAGAAGCTGCATCACACCGCTCGACCGTCAGAAGAGTCAGATACTCGGTTACGACACGACGGTTGCGCAGGAACGTGATGTACACTATCATGTGCTTCCCGCGAGTCCGGTCGGTGCTCTCGTCTGTGCTCAAACCGAGGAAGGGCGAAGAGGCGATGTGCTGCATCTGCGTCTGAGTCAGCCAGGTGCTGAGGCAGTGCACCATCTGCTGGAAACCATATCTGCAAATGGGTAATGACAAACAGAGACATTAGTCGTAGGTGGGGCGTATGTCGTTAAACAACAGTCGTAAAAATACATGCCATACCGCGTGAGGTACACCCCGTAGGCTTGCTTTGGGATGTCGGGGGTGTCCTGCTCAGCGAGATGCCTCATCAGCTTCGGGAACATGCTGATGGGCGTGTCCTCCTGGCAGAGAAACTGCACCGACCGCATCAGCCGGATAGCTCGCCGACCCTCCACGTCCGCGTTCATGAAGCGGTCGATTTCCGTCTGGCCGTTCGAAATCGCCTCCGCAATCTCCGCCTGACGCTGCATTGCCTCCTTGTGGACCGATGTGTGCTCGTGGATACGCATCGTCTGCGTCTGCAGGTCTCGGCCGCCGTCACCAGGACCTGAGTACTTCGTTGTCTCTTTGCCGAATGAGAGACACACACTGCACTTCACACTAGGACCACCATCTTTAGCGCGAAGCAAGAGCAGCCACGGGAATTTCGGCAACCACTGCGTGTTGTACTTGACACTTGCCTCTATGTACTTCTGCTCCATCAGCTCAGCCCTGGACAGAACGGGGGAGTTGGTGTCCGCACGTACAGGTATCTCCTCTGGTTCCTCAGGTTCGGGCTCCTCCTCCTCGGGTGCACTAGGTGGTGGCACGCGCACACCGCCGAAGGTCAACGTGCTCTGCTGTAGCTTGCCTCGCAGTACAAACGTGCGCGCCTTCTTAGCCGTACGACCCTCGGACGCGGGAGCGGCATCGTTGCAGCCGCTGCTACCAACTGCAGAGGGAGGCGCTTTACTGGACGACGCGATGGCGGGAAGGAGAGTGAACGGCGCTGGGGAAGGCGCGGGATTGGGGGCCGGCTGCGGCTCCTTGCTGGACGATGGGTTCACGTCGGTATTAACAACTGCAGCGGTAACAAGAGGTTCTGGTGTGACCGGAGCTACGCTACGTCGAAGGAAATCTAGGCCGCTATCCCTATGATCGGGTGGCTTCTCCGGGGCGGTCTCAGGCGAGTCCTCCGCGGCAGGAAGGGAAGCCATGGCGAGAGGAAGAGAAGAAACATCACTAGGGCGACTGGAAACAAGAAGTGAAAATGAGAGACCCCCTTCATCTTCAAAGAACCAGCTGCAGCAGAAGGAACGTAAACCACGCCGCCACGAAAAGGGCTCACGAAGTGAGGTGGGGTGAGCAGACTGAATCGGGCTTTGCATTCTTGGCCAAATTCATCTCAGCCATGCCACCACACATTCCTGTTGTGCCATGCCACCAATCGCGTTCCACCCATCACATTACGTGAGGGTGGCGCGGTGGGCGTGCCTGCAGAGTCATAATTGTACTTGGCATGCTGGCCGCATCACGCCGCACATGGCTGCCTTGCTGTGCACAGCGCACCAACAGATTTTGTCAGCATTACGTGGTTTACCTCCCACGCGAACATGAAGACAACCACGGGGGGTGGGGAAATCATTACGCGTGGGGGGGGGGGGGGGGGGGGGGGTACTTTCGGGAAAAATCGAGGAAGCTTCCTCTCGATAGACCGGCATACAGGGACCACAGACCGTATACTCTGTAGGGCCAGACTCCAAAAACGACTAAGTCTGATGCCTATTACACTATATCAGGGGCCTACAAACAATAACACTGAGGCTCTCAGGGATGAAATATTGATTACACTGGAAGTACAATGTTCAGAAGTTCACTAGCCTGATTGATCAGACTAATCAGACTATTTAGTCTGATAGCGTCAGCCCTGGAGCCAGGACCCGGTCTTGACATCAGACGGGTCATTTTACTAAAGTTAGGACGCGGCACTTCAAGCAATTTTGCACGATCAGGCCTCTGGATAGGTTTGGAAGCACTCTTAGTCGAAAGGGCAGGCTGCCAAAGCTGGTCTTTCAGTAAGGGTTGGGCAGCCATGTCAGTCTTGTGTATCAGTGTTGGCTGCATTGTTACTCGTGCTCGTCAGTGTACTGTGGACCTCGGTTAGTTGTACCATTTTTTTTTAACCAACGCTTAATGTTTAGGTTGACATGACGTGCAAAGAACAATAAAATATATGACTAGAACTAGAACAACAACAGGACCTACATATGGGATGGTCTGGCCTGGTCAGGTTCCAGCAGAATACTCCTAGCAGGGAGCAGAGTAGCAAAATCAATACAAAAACTCCTGGGCAGGACGGCGCTTCTTGCTAGCATTGAACACGGCTACCACATTCACCCAGTTCAGACCATCACTGGGCAGGAGCGCTGCAGTCATCAGATCGCCCAGTTTGGCGTCGCCCAGGCAGGTCCGCTTCCACGTCTTGATACGGTTCTGGCGACTGAAGCCCCGCTCGCACTCCACCGTGCTGAGGGGGAGCACAGCTACGGCCTGCCACAGCTGCACAAGGTTCGGGTACGCTCCCACGTAGTCAGTTGACTGGAGCATGAGCAAGAGCGACTTGTGGAAGCTCATGTTCCCGTGGTTGGTATCCATGGTGTGGAGAAACAACGGTAGCTCCCTCTCGCACGCCTTGAAGCACACACCTGCCAGGATGGGAGAGCAGAGCAGTGAGAGGGGCGATCAGGGCGTATAGGAGGTGTTTACCAGCACACCAAGGTACACACACACACACAGCAGACAGCACATTGCAGGCACAACCAGGTGGCGTACCACAGAGGCGGTGGTGAAACATGTGCTCTAGCATGCCCAACCACTCGCGGCACTTCTTCATCCGCTGCGCGTTGTCGTCGGGATAGCACGATGGCCGGAAAAGCTTGGAGCCGGCCAGGTTTTTGAGGTCTTCTAGGCGGAACTCCAGTCGCGCAACGCAGACCCTCGCAAACTCCTGGCACACCACCTTGCAGGAATAGTAGTCCCCGCCAGTCTTATGGCCTGGGATCTTGCGCTCGTGAAGCACGAACTCGTGCTCTGCAGCTTCGCCGTTCTGGTCCACGCCTTGGACGGTGACTTCGCGGTGCTGGGGGTTGCCGTGTTTCTTCAGGAACGCGCAGAGCAGGGGCGACTGATCGTTGCCGAAACGATCCTCGCAGTCCACGTAACGCACCTCGATCGTCCGGCAAGCGAGTGACACCTCCCCCGCGACCACAGTGATGTCAACCTGTGAGTGGGCGTGGGATGAATAGTTGCTGCCAGAGGTTGATGTACAATGGGTCAGAACGGCGCACACCAACCGGGAACATGGCAGTGACACAAACGCCTATATGTACAACCAAAACACTCCACATGTCACCTGCTGCTTCTGGAACTTGGCGTTGAGCTCGTTGAGCACGGCAAGAATGTCTGCAAGGAAGAAAAGCATGAAGTGGAATTTGAAAGAGGTGACCGTTTCGTATAGCGCGTGCTTGAAATCGTGCAGCAGGACGATTGTCGCCGGCAGAACCTTGGCAAACCGCTTGACTGCCTCTCCTCTAGAGAGCCATCGCACGTCGTGGATCCCCTGCAGCTCCAGGTTGGTTTCGCAGATGTACTCCTGAAGGTGCTCGAATCGCCGGTGCCAGTTGCTCGACCTAGAAAGCTGCTCCGCCACGTTGCGCACCGCCTGGTCTATAATGTTGAACTCCGTCACCTTCTCAGCGGCATCCTTCGCGGCCAACGCCTCCCTGCTCAAGGTAGAACGGAGGAAACGAGCGATTGAAGTGAGTGGGCAGTACATGATCAACACACACTTGCCATAAAGCCAGTAACAATGACGGACTTACCGATGTGCGATGCAGTGGCACGACACGAGATAGGGATTCCGCTGCCGGAGTCGTGCCACAACACCATTGCTGGTGCCCGTCATTACTCTGGCGCCGTCGGTGCTGATTCCAACAATCTTGGACACGTCCATGCCCACGGCGTCAAGGTGGGTCAGTAGCACGTCGACTAGACTTGCCGCGTCACACTTGTCAACTGTCAGCAGCGTGAGGAACTCGCAGACGCTCGCTCCCTTCTTCATGAAGTGGACGTAGACGATCATGTGCTTGCCGCGCGCCTTGTCAGTGTTCTCATCGAGCTGAATGGAGATGTACGGGCTTGCCTCGATCTGCTTCAGTTGCTCTTGCCGCATGTACTTCGCTGCAGCTTCTAGCAGCTCCCCGAAACCGTACCTGTATGATACAAGCACAGAGGTTAGTACGTGATCAATCAAGAAAGTTGTAACGGAACCAGTACAACGACACCAAGTACCCCGAAACTTACTCCGAAAAGTAGTTTCCCTTGGAATCCAAGGGAAGGTTCGGGACACCGAGCTCGGCCATGAACTTGATGGTGCCCACGTAGGAGGTGATTGGCGCCTCCGACTTGCAGATGTACACGGTAGTCTTGAGAGCAATGATGATGTGAAGAGTGCTGCGATCCAACCCCTCGAACTCGCTCAGCAGCGTTTGACGAAGCTTCCGGCTCTCCTTCGACTTCATCTCGGCGTGTGCGTCCTGGTGTGCGGTGGAGCGCTGGTGCGTCCGGATGCTCCCCTTCTGCATGTCACGCCCTCCACTGCCTCCCTTGCCATAAGCCGTTTTCGCGCCTTCAGCTCCATGTTCCAAGCACGTGCTGCATCTCAAAATGGGGAAGCCAACGTCATCACGAGTTAGAATTAGCCACGGAAACAAAGACTCCCATGAAGTCTTAAATCGCTTATGCGCTTTAGCGAAAGCGACCTCGGGGTAACGGGCCATCTCTTCGACAGTTGGCAGGCCGTCTTCTTCCTCCTCGTCATCACTTCCCTCGTCCTCCACTCGTCGGATTGGACGTGCCGTCCGCTTCACAGAGGGCTTCGGTTGTCGCCACCACTGCGTAGCACTGCCACCGCTTGACTCTTTGCGCTTCTTGTTCGCAGAGTCGCCAGCCGCATCGCCTATCTCCGTTTCAGTAGCCGTCGCTTCTGGAGGTGAGGGTTCCGCCGTGGTAGTGCAAACTTCAGGTGAGCGCAGGTCAGGGCCTGAATCATCTGCGCGGGTTTCGTCCTCGGTTGAAGCAACTACGGGCTCCGGATCTGACAGCTTCTTAGCGGGGGTTCGTAGAAAGCTGAGGCCCGTTCGCGGGGGTGATTTTTGGAGTTCACGGCATGCCTCGTCGTCACCATCGGTGGTTTCGTCAGCAGCCATGGCGAGGGCCAGAGGGGTGGTTGCAGGAGCTGGGCCTACGCTAGCTGTTGGGAGAGCGTGGTGGTGGGGTGGTGTGCAAAGCAAACCCTAGACCAGACGAGATAGCGAGGAGGCAGAATTGAGAAATGAGACGAGGAGGACTGGGTTGGGTGCGTGGGAGAGGCTGGTCGGTGGGTGGGAGCCTGCTGGGGAGGGAAGAAGAAGCTTCCATGCTGGACACACCTCCTGCACGAAGCAGGTGTGTGTGGCGCTGCGCGGCATTGCCAGCTAGGAAGATTGCAAGTGAGCCAGGTATAGTTGACGAGCCTGTGGCAGTGGCGACGCGAGCCGTCAAGGCGACGCGCACATCTGCTGACTCAAGCAAAACGCCGCTAATCACGGCCCAAATCTCGTCAGTACCCCCCCCCCCCCCCCCGCCGCGTGAAATCGCATCAGGGTGGTACGCGACACTAGTCTTTGTCATCAGGGCGAGTACACCAGGCCTGTCTTAAAAATCAGTGTTAACAAAATGAACACTTTTTCGGCTAAGGGTGCCTCAGAAAACAAGTTTTAAAAACAAGGGTGATCACCTAAACCCACCCTTATAGTAAGGGCCATAAGGGTGTTTTACCCTGATATCGAGAGGCCTGTGCACGATCGATCGCAGGATCGCTGATTCAACCGTACTGAATTTCTTTTGAAAACATTGAAATATTTCAATACCACTCCTAAAACATTCGATCCTGCGCAGGATCGATCGCAGGATCGGTGCTAGAGGTGCCGCGTCCTTAGCCCTGCTGACGGTATGCCATTTCCCCGAAACGAAAAACTATGACCCACGTAATGATACAAAACTGTAATCAAATGCAATCTATCACAAATGTAAACTCGAGGCACTTCTCATAAACACCAAACATATTATGAACAAAAATCTATGGAGACAATTGAACTTACCAGCAATGTCAACATGAGCCTAGCTTCGACTTCCGATCATTTGTGCAAGCGGCTGGACAGCAATCACAGATCTAACTGTGTACACTCCATTAGTCCAAGACAAGCTTCCAAATGCAAAGGACGGAGACGCTTGTTGCACCTTTAAACTAACGTTGTATACTGCAGCAGACCAAGGCTCCACAACCATCAACTGCGGCCTCACATCGACAGCCACACCTTGCGGTGCCACAACTGACGGCTTGTACACAGACCTCCTGCCAGTCACGTCTCGCACAGTTCTCGTCACCACCACCCCTCCCTTCAATGCACTCACAGCAATGTTTGCTTGGTTCAGGTTGTATGTAGGTAGAGCCTGCTGAACAACCCCTCGTGGTAACAACCGAACCAAACCGATATTCCTGGCTTTGAGCTCATCCACAGAAACTAAGAACCGAATCATGTCGGCTGACGTGGCATCATACACCAGACCTGGATTCACCGCAGCTGTGGGGGTCAAGTGCCCCGAGCCCATGTCAAACGGGGAGGCTTGGCGCCCTGACTCTGTTGGGATGGGTCGGCCGAAGCGGGTGAGTGCAGAGGCGGAGGTTTGGATGGCAGACTTGACAGCGAAGGGGCTCCAGTTGGGGTGTGCCTGTATGAGGAGTGCTGCTGCACCGGCCACATGGGGGGTGGCCATGGACGTGCCTGTGTTGACATTGAACGCCGACGCTACTACTCTCACCACTCCTGCACGTGGCAGAGGGGGAAATGGGTGGGGAGCAAGGGGACCCATGTGAGCAGCTGCCCCTGGTCGCATACGGGGGGGGAGGGAGGTTGGTGGCTCGAGAAGGGATACCAAGTGACGTGTGCTGGGAGTAAGCAACATGTGCCCATGGAGGCCATGTGGCTTCCACCACACCAAGCGCTACCGGGGGCAACTCGGCACTGATGGTTTAGCCTTGCACATGAAAACGTGAACATGCCCATTGGTTCCTTCATAAAGCAAGTGTGCATCCCTGGTAGTGCGCCTATCACAGTGAGCAGGTGTGAGTTGACAGGGAGGTGCGTCACCAGGGGCAATGGAGCTGAGCGCGTCCTGCTTCACAGACTGCGTCCACGCCGCCCATATCTCCACCCCCGGCGCCACCACATCGGGCTTCACCACATCGTTCAACTGCCGCCCAAAGGTGCGCCCTGCCGCCCCATCGAGGTCCTCCACGGGGCCCCT